GCTCATTACCTTATGCAAATTTTACAAATAGGGGAATCCCAGATTCTAGCATTTTTTGATTCAGGGGCTAATTCCCATTTAATTAGCGGAGAGGTTGCGTTACGAGAGAACCTGGAGAAATACTCGGATACTCCAACCAGGATCACTGTAGTGGGAGGAGGTACAGTCTGCTCCGAGTATGGTAGTTTCAACTTCTGCCTCGGCCCGGATCAGGAGAATAGGTTTCATGAACTCTGATGCATAGGAATGGAAGATCTCACTTCAGACTTCAGGAAATATGATCTAAAGGATATTAAAATGAGTATAATTTATCCTTAGAAAAAGCTAGCCCTAGGGAATCCTTGCCTGAGTATGTGGGAGGGAGCAAGGTTCAATTATAGGATATAGGATATATATAGGAATTAAGAATTCGCATCTAATGCCGGTTCTAATTAAAACCTTAGACTCGGGAGTTGGGGTTTATAAAAGTCCATTTAAAGATATTTTTGGATCTCGGATCATATTTGCCGGCCCGCATGCTTCCTTCACAAGGGGGAATAGAGGTATTAGGGATGAAGTGTCTCATGCAGTATTCCATATATATCAACGGAAGGAGGAGATCGCTGCTGGAACTCAGATCCCTCATCTTCTGATCGGAGACAAGAGAACCGGAGCAGGAGTGCATCCTACCCCCTTGAGCAGGACGGATTTTAGTCAACTAGGAGCTGATCCGGGACCTGAACCGAGACTGGGAAGTTCTCAGGCTCACTTCACAGGATTGGAGGCTCATGTGTGTAGAGTCAAAGGTGACCAAATCCCTATTGCAAGGATGAGAGAGCTGATAAACCAGGATGATCCGGATGGTTTGATCTCATTCAGGTGTTCTTCATGTGCAGCATGTATTACTTGCAGGAAATTGCCAAGAACGAATGCAGTTTCCCTACAGGAGAGTAGAGAACAAGAGGTAATAGAAAGGAGTGTGTCCATAAACCTGGAGGAAGCCATTGTCCAAGTTAAATTACCATTTATGATGAATCCTGTGGCATTTTTAAAGGAAAAACATGGAGCTGATAATAATTTTAAACAAGCCATCAGCGTCTAACGTTCCCAATGCAAGAAACCAGACAAGATGAAGGCAGGCATGAGGCAAGTACATGAAGACCTAGTGGAGAAGGGTTTTATGAAGAAACTATCCAGCATGAACCCTGAGGTACACCAGTTAATTAAGGATGCAGAATTTACTCATTATTATCTTTGGAACATTGTAGAAAATGAAGGTTCAATAAGTACTCCGATGAGATTAGTTGTAGATCCGTCCATGACGGGTCTCAACCAAACCTTAGCCAAGAGAGAGAACACCATGGGTAACATGTTAAATATATTATTACAGTGTTTAAGTGAAGAGTTTGCATGGGCATCTGATATTTCTAAATTATATAACCAGTTAAGGTTGGAACCCTCTGCATTGCCATTCTCACTTTTTCTATACCATGATTCTCTAGACTTAGAGGTCCCCCCGGAGAGATGGTTAATGGTTAGAGCCTGGTATGGAGTAACTCCAACAGGATCACAAGCAGGATATGCTCTGGAGCAGTTAGCAAACCTCTCGGAGAAAGAGTACCCTTTAGGAAGGGATTGTATTATCAATAATAGGTACGTGGATGATATACCATCGGGAGCAGGTTCAGAGGAGGAACGAGAAAACCAGATTTCTCAGGTCCAACAAATACTGAAGAAAGGAGGGTTCTCGCTGAAATATGTAGTTAGGAGCGGAGAAGATCCTGATCCTAAGTCTTCAACGGACGGTATTTCAACTAAACTGTTAGGATATAAATGGGAGACAAGGGAGGATATACTGAGGCCAGGGTTAACAGAGCTGAACCTGAATAAGAGGATCAGGGGAGCAAAGAAACCTAATGATACTCCAGTAACCTCAATCCAGGAAGCAGAGAAATTACTCCAGCCTATAAGTATTACACGGAGACAAATAATCTCAAAAATTGCAGAATTATTTGATCCAGTAGGACTTCGGGAACCAATTAAACTGAACCTCAAGCTCAAGGCAGTAAAGTTTGACCTGGAAACCCAGTTCAACGAGTTGATCTGATCTACCGGATGAAGAAGGTTGATATATATATCGTTTTTGCAGTAATTAAAAAAATTTTTTTACTCAAAGCTCTGTTCTGATCGGAGGTTATCCTCATATAAATTGCGTTCCATGACCTGGAACATATAAACATGATCAGTTTATTTTTGTTTGTTAATAAAGAATTATTTTGGATGAATTTTGCCTGATATTATCAGAGTCTGGTCTCCAGAACCAGAGGCCGGCCCGGGAGTGTTTTGTGGAGTTCGGGTTCTGGATCCAGACTTTGAATGCTCCGGAATAAGGTTCATTGAATATTTAAAACCGTACTGGATCAGGAGAAATAAAAGGTTAATAGTAATCTTAAACCCGTCCTTGCTCAGGTTTATGATTAAATATCCTGAAGGTCCTAGTCTAACTGATAATGGTTCATAAATTCCGGTGATTGTATAGATACATAATATGAATTAACCCTTAAAAGTATTGTTGAATGATTGCTACGTAATGACGACTTTTACCGACAAATAAGTTTAGTACGCGGTATATATGCGCTCCTTTGTTAAAACCCTCGAGTCAGGGCCGGATTCAATCATTCTATACAAAGTCATTATTCCGATCCGTTGAAAATGGTTTAAAATGAAGATCGGTTTGAGTTAAGATCGAAGTCTCATCAAATATTGTAGAGATACTTGAGGTATAAAATTTAAGGGTATAATATTGAGTTTCAGTACGAGAACTTGAAGGGTTAGATTTCTTTTCATACTCTCCCGTCATACGTCTCCTTCCGGATAGCAGAGGGACAGGCCTATGGGGAAACTGAGCTATTGATTCGCCCTACATACAGATTTTATTTATTTACCCTATATGTTTTATTTGTGATTAGTTTTATTGCTCGTACACATTCTTTGAATACTCATGATTTTAAATATTGTAACAGTTTTTTACTTTTATAGAATAACGCTGCATAGAACTCTGTCTTCATTAGTTCAGTTTCTGTTATATTCTTCTCTACACGATGACTTCAAGGTAGTTCTATTGAATGATCAGAAATGTATATCTCTAAGGTTTCTCGATATTCGTCGTCGCCGATTTGTGACGAAACAAAACCTTAGATACTCCTGGAGCTAATAAGCTAAACTGCAGCTACTCCTGGAGCTAATAAGCTAAACCTCGGCTACTCCTGCAGCTAATAAGCTAAACCTCTTGTACTCCTGGTGCTAATAAGCTAAACTTCAACGCTCCAGAAGCTAATAAGCTACACTGCTAGCTACTCCTGGAGCTAATTAGTTACATAGATACTCCCTCACTTCCTCTTCTTTTATACACTCGTTATTTATTATGTATTTACATCTAGAAGCAATAAATGTACTTCCAAAGTGGTGACCCCAGACAACAAATGAACGATGGCAGAAAACACAGCCTCCTGGTCAGAAACAGCTCAAGATATTTTTTATTTTTCTATTTAAGGGGGACAGGGATAAGGTATAAAAAATTTCTGAGCTCCATCTGTTTTTAATTAAATAACAATAAAGAAGTTAAGGGGACTGTCGGTATAATTTTAATTGAGTCTTAATTTAACAGCTGCATGTCCAATTAGCAATGCTATCCTTTAAACCTTCGTCTGACAAAAAATGATGAGGAAATTCTTGTTTTTCTATCTGAATATTTTGGAATATTTAAATTTTTGTTTGTCTTAAGCAACAGATACGAGAAACGGTGATATTTTTCTCATTGTTCCTGAGATAAAGGTGCGAAAGGTAAAGTTGTGAATCGGAAATATGCAACTTTTTTATTTATGGCCCACTTGTCAAATTACGCTTTAAGTTGGATCACTAGTTTGAGGACCATTTGTCATTACGCTTAAAGTTGGATTAGTAATTTGAGGACAATTTGTCATTACACTTTAAGTTGGATCGGTAATTTAAGGACCATTTGTTATTACGTTTAAAGTTGGATTAGTAATTTTATTTGTCATTACGCTTAAAGTTGGATTGGTAATTTAAGGACCATTTGTCATTACACTTAAAGTTAGATTAGTAATTTGTTTTTCTTGCAAATTCTTTCTGTATTCCTTTTTTATAAATATCTAGATTTTTCTGGAAGAAAAATCATGTGATCTAATTCAGATAAAATCATATTTGTGCTGTTTATTTTCCATATGTTATAAATACGATTTCTTATTGGGGCCAAAGACTGTTTAATAAATAAAACATGAAAAAATTAAATATTAAAAGAAAATTACATTTTTTTAACCATAACAAAATATTTTACCTTGTAAGTCAAATATCTTTTGAAAACCTGGTTTGGGCCAGAAAATAAGGTTTTAAGAAAAAGCATAAAACACATTTTTACTTAAAAATGATAATCTTAAAAAGTTTCTGTTTGGCATAAAAATGTTCGTTATCCAGCTCCTTGAAATCCATATTTAAAAAAGTTACACTCGGCTCAATTTTTACTGGTTGAATGGAATACTGCATCTACGATTGAATCCGAATTTAATTAGGATTCAGTCTACCCCCATTCATTTTCCGCGAACACTCCCTTTAAGTTTTTACTGTTTATGATTTTCTCATAGATAAAGATAGATTGCGCATAAGACGACATTTTTCATCTTGAAAGATATAAATGTACTGAGATGTTTTAAAGATATTCCTATTATATAGATTAACTAGGTCGGTTGTGAACATTGGATGTTCTTATGTCATTGAGTACTTGTGGTGTACATGAGTTCCGAAGAGAGAAATTTGAGTTAGTTAAGTCCTTCTCATGTCCTTCTTCGGTTCTCGTCAATATGATATACTGCTCAGTGAAATATTGTTGTTCAAATAGTGAAATTAAAACGCAAAACCACCCCGCTTATCATTGAAGTACACTTTGACCCCTAGAAGTATGAGTTCGCGGACTGTACAATTCTTTGTGATTTTGCGTACATAAGTTATCTATGTTTATTTATTTATCTACGGATTTTCCTAATGCTTTTAAATACATATGACAACATCATTTCATGTATTTAATATTTACAATATAGTGCAATATAAAATATTATTACTAATAATAAGACAAAAATCTAAAAATATTTGACTACATTTTCTCTACTTCATTCATTTCATTTTCAGTTTCTTTCTTCTGTTTGGGTTTAGAGGATTGGGACGGATCTGATGTTGTATATGCTCCAGGTCCTGCTATCCGTAGGACTACCGGGAGTAGAACCAACCCATGGAAAAGTCCGAAAACAACGACGAGGAAGAATATTTTGAAGAATGATGAGAATACATGAGAATCACTGCCCGCTAGCAGGACAAATGCAATAAATGTTGAGACTCCGCCGTTTAGAACTGCAGGGCCTATATTGACTAGGGTTTGGGCGGATCTTTCTCTTCTTGATCCGCCGATTGTTAGGAAGGTGTGGCAGATATGAGCCGAATAATCAACACATAAACCTAAATTTAAGACTTGATATTAAAAACAGATGTAATTAGCAAAAATTGAAAAGAAAATATTTTTTTTGCTTAAAGAACCTGTCAAATCTTTCGTTGGGATGTTTAGAAAGATGAAAATTTCCCTGTATGATAATTGAAGGACTGCAGTATGGTTTTGGTGAATTATATTGGCGTACAAAGCCTAGGGGTGTCAGAAATGATTTTTTTTGCATATTTTTAAAAACTTCTGTAAAACTTTTAAAGTTTAATTTTTGATAAAACTTTTTGTTCTGGATGATTGCAAATATCTATCTAAAACTTTCTTAAACCGGCATATTTTTTCTATATTCATTTAGTTAAGAGTTTGAGTCAAAATAAATATTAATAAATATTGCTTTATATCGAGTAGATATCCTTAAACATACCGATGTAAAACCTTTCAGAAAGTAGGAAAGATTCTGCAAAAAAAAGTTGCCAAACCAAACAGAATTTTTATTTTGAACAAAAATATTTAGAACTTAAAGAAGCTTTTCTGGGTTTCACTTTACTCTAGTTTTGCATTATTTTCATTTGTGTAAAACAGTATAAAAGACATTATGTTGATGGTTTAAAACTAAACAGCTGATGATTCATTGGAGGGAGGAATGGCAAAAACACCAATTTGTAATTCGAAAATCTTTTAATGGAAACTGATTGTAACAGGGAATACAGAGTGCTTTAGGGTACAGGGTACTACAATGTACTGCAATGTACTGGGGGGAGGGGGTACAGAAACCAATCAGAATTTTTTATTTTAATAAAAAAATATAAGTAAGCACTTCTAAGGATGTTTTCTTTATAGTTTTGCACTATTTTCACGGACAAAAAAGCTAGTTTAATACTAATCAGCTGAACACTTAATGGAGGGAGGGTGGCAACAACACCAATTTGTAATGTATAATTGTAATTGCCTTTTCCGATTTTTTAAAATAAAGTAATTTTAATGATAGAAATTAAGAAGATAAAGTAATAAGAAGAAAACTATGAAATAGCACGACGACGTTATAGCAATACTTAATTGTATTCGATTTTGTTACAAAGCTTTACAAGCACCTTGTTGAATCACTAATTAGGTGAAATTGGTCTATTTTAACTGCACATTTGCTATTTCCCATGCTCATTAAACTATTTAAATTCATAACTTGTTACTTGAGTCTAAAAGTCGTCTTCCTTTTTTATAGTTTTCCGGTTATCACTGTACAAAGTTTTTAATTCAAACAACATAACTGATTACCTATAGCAATGATGATATTAACACTGCTCACAACATCTACAGTAAGGCCCCAAAAGTGCATATATCCACAAAGATCAACCAGGGTTAGAGCTACACAGAGAAGTACAAATATAGAACCAAGAATATCCGCAAGTAGGATCAGAGTAGTAACAAAAACACAAGCTATTGCAAGCCCAACATTTCTCAGAAGTTCATTTGTAATAACTTCATCAGTTTCCCAGTTGGAGTACTCTCGGGCCATTGGGAAAACGTCTCCTTTGGAAAACTTGACTCCGTTGATGATATCCTTGACTTTGTTGAGAGCTGGGATATGCTCATCCCTTCCGCTGAACCTTTTATGCGTAAAAGTGAACTTTCCCAGGAGTATTTCTGGAGCTGGTTCGCCGCAAACAAGCTCCCCTCCATCTACAAACTGAAAGTCCCCTTGAGCTGAAAACCCTTGTGGACTTGAGAACAAGAAGCAGGTCAGGAGTCCATTAAAATTGTTGGCAAAATTTTTACAGTGTGTTGTTTTGGCAATGATAAGATCATCATACCACGTATTTACTTCGTCAATGATGTCAGTAGCTTCCTTGAATTTATCAACCAGCTCCCCAACCTTATCAAGATCAGCATCCCAATCTATTTCTGTGATGTAAACTGTAACCTGTTCCCCGGTACTTGGAAAGTATTCCTCGTTAGCTGCAAACCACAGAGCTACCGAGGATGTTGACGGTAGAAACCAAACTGGATCAAACTTTTGTTCCAGGAAAACCATTCCACAGATCCCCCCACTTAGTAATCCTAATCCTAACACGACAACAACAATCATACCCGGGAGGCTGAGAATAAATTTGGAAAAGTGCTGGAAACACTTTTGTGAAAGAGACAGATCTATTTTGGTGATATCAACCTTTTCTTTCTTCTTTTTGTGAGTATAACAGGGACAGAGGCCATTCCTGTTGGAAGCTAATCGTCTGCAGTCTAGAGTTAGGAAGGCGGTAAACAGTGTTGCTTGGAAGAAGTAAACAGCTATTATCCCCACACTGCACCACAAACAGAAAGATTTTAAAGCTGGAAGAACAGTTGTTCCTCCGAGTGCAAATACAATAAAGTCTGTCAAAGATGTTACAGTAATTGCTACACCAGCATGTCTCATTGTCATCCCAATATTTTCTTGTATGTTGTCTGTTTTCAGTGGTCCTAGGTTGTCATAGCACTGCATGATCACAAACATATCATCGATTCCAATACCAAGCAGTAGGAAGGGAATAACATTGTGCATAGGTCCATAGAATAGATCTAGAGCAGAGCAGAATCCGTACGTGAATCCAACAGTCAACCCTATACATGCTAATCCACCAAGGGCAAGCAGAGCTCTCTGCTCTGTACAAGTGAACTTCCCAAGCATAATTGTAACGTAAACAAATACGATAAGAAACCCAATTGGCATCATCATAGCATCATTTACAATAGTTTCACCAGCAACATCTGAATAGGATCTTGCAACATTGATAAACGTCTCAATGTTGGCAGGCAGTTCACTTTGATCATCTTTGAGAACTTTTTCCAGTTGTTCCTCCCACTCTAGAGAATTAGAATCTACTATTTCACCTGTACCAGAGGAACTAATATCATCTGGAGTTACAGCAGTACTATTTATCTTGCCATACCATCTCATAAAGGTTGCTTCAGCTGAAACTATCTTGCCTGTTGGATCACGTTCAATCTTGCCTCCCAGATAATCCACAATATTGATGGGAGTCTTGAAAAATGAACTAAATGCATTGTCAGCATTGATTTGTTCAAGTAGTGAAGTCTGATCGAGCTTTTCAAAATCATAATCTTTCGGCCAAAATTCCAGAATGCTTTGCTCAAAACAGACTGGTTCAAGCATTGAAGCTATTCCAGGACAAGCTTCTACAATATTAAATGAAAATTAAAGGGACTGTAAGCGTAATTTCAAGTGAACTTCCATGCAAAGATGACAATGCCCGATTCACAACGGCAATCTTTAAAGCTTGGTCTGATCAAGTATGAATATGATATAAATTTTAAAACTGATTATTTTCATTTCATTTCTCCTGGAGAAAACATTATAGGCATGATCAGACCTTTTAAACTGGGAAAATGGTACCTATGTAAATTTAACATTGCAATCTTTACATGAAGGACTACTTGAAATTACGCTGACAGTCCCTTTAAATGATAAAAATTCAAAGAGAATAGAATATATATTAGAGTGGAATTTAGAAATCCCTCTGTATGAATTTTGTCAGTCCCTTTCAGCTTGAACGGGAGTTCAAAGTGTACAAATCATGCAAATGTTCACAAATTATATGCAGTAGAGTACATTAATACAGTATGTTCCTTAGACTATTCATTTCAATTTCGAATTTTTTAAAGCTGTTAAATAAACTTTATAAAATGAATCAGGTGAATAAAAACATCATTTGATTTTATAGTTATAACGGAAAATCATCGTTTGTAAAGTGAAAGGCATAGAGCCTATGTAAATTCCACTCTAATATATATTCTATTCTCTTTGGTTGAATTATAAACATACCTGGGTAGGGTATATCCTGCTGAACAGCAAATTTAGGAACATCTCGCTGGAAACATTGTTGCTTCCAATCCAGTTTATTCTCATCTGTTTCAAACTCGTTGACCTGATGAAAGGATTACAGGGTATATCAATAATCATAAGAATAAAGTGTCGACTTTTATGTCGTCTTTGCGCCATCTATTTGAAAATGCTAGAAACATACTAAAAAAATCCGCCCCAATTTGGTCTTTACCTGGGACTTCTAAAAAAATGCTTTTAATTGTGTTGTGACTTAAAAAATGATTGAGATATTAAGAGCTTTTAAGATATTCAAACAAAATAATCCTCTATTTTCATATATTTGTCAATTGCTTTTGTAGGAAATACAGAAAAGTTTCACATTTTGATTTTATCGCCATTGAAGAGCGCAGAAAATCTTTTGGATGACTCATTTTAAGTAAATCACACTATTTAACCCTTAAAATAATCTAATAGTGAGTCAAGATTGGTTTCAAAATACATAATCAAGTAGGATGAATCGTCACGTAAACTATTTTTCTTACCGGGGGGGGGGGGGCAAATTTGAATAAACTCTTTTCCTAAGAAGAATAATTCCCCCCCCCCCCCCTTCCTTTAATTGTCCCGCCTTTGATCTTTATCCTGAGCTTTTATCTTTCAAGCCCATGGTTAGTTTATGTTTATCTTCAAGGAATATTTCAGGTGAATGTTATCTTGTCCATGTTCATTTAGGAGATTAGTTCAATGATTAAATATTTATGTTTGATGATGTGCAAAGTTACCTGCACAAAAGGATGAACTTTTATTTAATATTGAAAACGTCAATATAAGGAGTTAAAATTTTAGCGTCAGTTAGAAATTACAGAACTTCCGATAAAAAGATTGCACAAAGACGACTTTTAGCCCGATTTTCACTGATTTTGAATGTAGTTTCTTTGAAAATTTAATTTTTTCCACAAACTCTGATTTTCTAATCCCTATATCTATGCATAGCAATATCGTAGACCTTAGATAGTTCAAACTTTGAATTCTGTTGGATCAAATAATTTAAATTTAAAATACCAAAGGTTTACAACATCCAGTTGCAAAGGGATTTGACAATTTAAGTTTGTGGAAAGACTCAATTCATTTAAAGCTAAAACCTTTTGACTGAATTCAACTCCATTGATACAGACAACCATAGATTAATGACAATACAGATAGAACGCTAGATGTCGTCTTTTCAAGATTTAGGTTTTTTTGTTCACAATAACACGCGTGTAACTCCTTTGGGCTTCTGCCTCAGGGTTATTGTTAACGAAAAACCCCTAAATCTCGAAAAGACGACATCTAGTGTTCTATCAGTATTTTTATTAATCTATGCTAACAACTATTGATAATGTTCAGCCCGTAATTTTTTAAACCTTAATTTATAAGTTTAACCTTTAATCTAAGTTTATTAAGATGTTTTATAAGTTCTGGATTAAGCACACTGCCCCCTGGACTTGTCACTATCAGGGAATTAAATCTAAACATAAAAGTTCGATAAAAAACTTAAAACAGGAAGTAGCTAAAAACCATTCAAATTTTTAGGACTATAATGTCATTGTATATCCTAGTTAAGTTATATTTAAAAAATGGTTTAAAGTTTGTTTGTCTTTCTTAAATGCACCCCCTTGCTGTTTTAACTTAAGGTTTATCAATAACGCTTGTACGTGTTAATACAGGGTTATCCATAAAGGATAATACTTCAGAGACGACTGTACATAATTGATTCAATCCTTTTTTTGAATTTTTTGAAAAAATGCACACCATGATTCCTGTCTTTGCAAAATCATTTAATTTACTTTTTTTGAGAAGCTCAGGTTGAACCCTTTGCTCGACAGATCTAAAGAGGTTAAGGTCGTCATTAAAATCTCATCCGTTGTGGGTAACACTAAGTAAAGTGTCACATGATATATATCTATTAAACTCTACATCTTAATCGTCTTGAATATGTTATATGGAAGAACAACTTTGCAGAGGCCCCGGCCATTCCTTGTGGGAGCAAAAACCGTTTATAATGACGATAGTTTGGCGGCGAGATTATTAGAGCACACATGCAGCTAGTGGGAGATGTCATCTGATTTACCGAAGTGTAAGTGTTGCAAAGGAACGGTCTCAATGCTTTACGGCTTTAGTTCAAAGCAAAGATAATATATATATAGATATGCAGGCAGGTAGAAACCTCCTTCCTAAATTGCTTGTAGCAGACAACTAATTTTTGAACCTCTGAGAAAATGTGCAAGGAGAGACATCTATAGCAAATTGATTACTTTCTATATTCCTTTCTCCCCTTGCTGCTATCTGTAGGAAATATTGCATCCTGTATAGTTCAAGTGTTGCTATCTGGACCTGTTTGACCAATAAAATTAAATTTCAAGGTAACACAAAGATACAGTACGCGTTTTGTTTATGTTATGATCAGATCATTTGTAATTTTTCCTAGACTCGATGTACTTTTATAGTCATAATTTTTATTTAAATTGCGTTAATTTACGTATGCCATTCAGTACAACTTGCACATTTAAACTTTGTCTAGTCAAATTCCTACCTCAGTTTTATTTGCATTGTTGAATTTGTTTCATTAAGTACAATTTATGCAGTATACATTGTTGATACTATAGTACGCATTTAGTGTTATCATGCATAAACAAAGTGATAAATTAGCAACAATCCAGAGGATAAAATGCCATGCGTACGACAGAGATGGTGCTGTTTGCACATTTTCTCAAGACCTCTAAATTTATACCTGCCTCCATATCTATATATATATTATCTTTGGTTCAAAGACTCTAACTTTTAAATTTACGACGAGAAAATAAGACGAAGACGACTTTTTAGTCCTCTTTTCAGAAACCTGATTTCAGGAGGAGAGTTTTCCTCCAACCAAGCGTTGTCAGCAACAAAATCAGAATTATCCGGAATCCATAGTTTAAAGGCATTATTCTCTGTCCTATCATAAAATATCATATCATAAATAATAACAATAATAATAATAATAATAATAATAATAATAATAATAATAATAATAAGAATAATAATAAAAATATATTAATGATAAAATTAATACCTATATTTGATCATGCCAATAGCTGCAGCCCCTGTGATTACTAAACATGCTAGAATTGCTATAAAAGGATGTCTTGCAACCTAAATATTTATAATAAAAACAATATAACAAATGAGGATTTAAAAAATGAAGGTTTTTTATTTCTAAAATGTTTCTTGAATGAATTAACCTTGATCCCGTACCAGGAGAAGAAATCCTCTAATCCATGAACCACTTTCTCACTTAAAAAATAAACATTTAAAGGGATTGTTCCTCGTTGGATTGTTCTCACTTTGAAAATAAACATTTAAAGGGAGTGTCCGCATATCTGAGGGAATGTGCAGCATTTTTAACTTCTTCTTTGCAACCTGATGTGGTAGACTATGAATAGTCAAAGTTTCAAATATGAAAGGTTATATAAACCTTATTTACTATCATATTGCAAAAGTATAGGGATTTTAAAATTATATTTTTGGGCCAATAATCGTTCCTTAATACAAAAACTATAATTTTGCAAGGCATGCAGATTGCATGGAACCTTCAAGGTTATTGGTTAGTCCAACCTAAATGGCTCAACGAAAATTGCAGGCCATGAACCACAAAATTGTCAATTTCTTCTCAAAGTTGTCTGCAGTCTCTGCAGCAAATGAACATAATGATAAAAAATATCCATAGAAACAGTAAAAAATCATATAAGTACCACTCGAAAAGTTCGTATCTTTGCATATTTGTTTATCAAAAAATTACATATTAAGTCCAATTCCGACACTGGGGCTCTTTCTTACATCCTGATATAAGATGATATGGTATTTGAAAACTAATAAAATATATATTTTCTATCTATTCCCGTATCTTTGTCTGAAAAGTGTACTGCAGTGCTGTTTCTAGAAGGCGCAGGTTGATCTTATGAACTACAGTACACTGTTTATGTAAACAAATAAAATAGGTTACGTGGATTCCTGTAGTTTATATTTTTTGTCTTAAACTAACCTTATAGCAGTAAGAGGATTCCGCATGCTTCAACTTTATTTAACAATTTATAAAAAATATTTCCTGAATTTTTGGAGAATTTTTAGATTTTTAACTTTGGTCTGAGATACTATCCCAATGTGTCCAGATGTATGTATATTGGTCTGTATCCTAAAAACTGAAAGTATAACAACAGTAATCCTTATCAGTTCTTTACTGTTTTACTACAGAGAATTAGTAGATTACAAAATAAATTAGTCAGATATGAAGACGATTCTTTTGCAAAAATTTTGATGTTACTTTTTTTGTGTAATTCTAAAATTGATTAAATTTTCGATGAGCTTAAAAAAGGCGATATTATGTAAATACACTTTATATAATAATATTCTGTACCTTATAATATTTAGATTATATAAATCCTATATCTTTCATCTATCCACAGATGATTATAAAACAAAAGATAAGAAAGAGTAAAATATTCACGAACTCCAGAAAATGGTCAAAATGCTAGATGACGTTTTTCATAAAATTCTCATTACGTAAAATAAAAATAAGTTAATAACACTACAATCATTTCAGTTTCAGTTTTTAAGATATACTTTTTATAACTTTCACCTTCGATGTTTCTTTAAAATAGAAAACAGACAGACAGGTAATCAAACAAATTTATTTAATTTGATTATCTTTGCTATAAAAATGTTTCAAGCTGTTCACATGCTCTATCGTATCTAAAGAGCTTTAAGCGTAATTTCAAGTAACCTTTCATGCAAAGGCATTAACATTAGTATCCTCAAAGGGACTGTAAAGGAAAAACTGTTTTCTCATTTAAAATGTAAAAAATAATGTTTTTTTTCTAGACTAAAAAAGTGTTTAATTCTGATTATGCCTATATAATTTTCTACCATAGAAATGCAAAAGTCACTTTTCTAGAGAAACCAAATTTAAAAATAATCAGTTTTTAAAATTATAAACATCAAGCCGTCTAGAAAATAATTTTTAACCTTTCGAAATCAGCTAAAAGCCATTTTTTCTCACTTACTTCCTTACAAGAAATATATAGACCAGGAACCGCCATATCTCATGCGTCAAATCTTTGTACTGCAGTGAGAGGAGATCAAAACATTAGAATTCAGGGGAAACGCATCATTTTTGAGGGAAAAAGGCCCAAGGGGTGGAATAAGAATATATTGCTATTGTATTTTCCATATTGACCAGAAAGCCAAGAATCATTCATAAGTATTCGCTCTAACTTTTTTTTGTTGGACTGTAATATCACATCAGAGCTGTAGTCCTTTCCCTTCAACTTCTGTGGGGGCACTAGGTTTGTTTGCATTCCTCCCACAGTGTACAGTACATAATATGCGTATATCTGAGTTGGGCGTTCCTGTATATAGTTCCTTGCTTCCTTAGAATTATTTTTATAAGCCTTATCATTACAAAATTATTTATTACCCTGGTATATTTTATAAAAATTATTTAAGTCATACAGAGTGTCCCAATAAACATACGAATTAAGTTTGTTCCTTGCGGCTTTTATCGTGAACACAATTTAAGCAGTATCCCAGTTAAGACAGTTAATAATCAAAACTACTAGTCGTGGGAATTCCTAAATGTGGTTTACAATATTTGTACCTTCAAAATTGACGAGATGTTTAGAAATTTCTCTAGATTCCAATTTAATAAATCACACTTAAATCGTTCAAATGTTCAATATCTGTCAATTTTGAAGATACAAAAAAGGCAGACCACATTTTGGAAAGCTTATAAGACCCACACTCTCTAATTTAATACACTTAATGTATGTTGTCAACTACTGAAAACCGAAGACGTTTTTCACGTCGTCTCTTAACTTCCATGTTTATTGGAACACCATGCATTTCATAATCTTCTCAAACATTAGTAAATATTAATAAAGCAATTTATCGTCAACGTTAGTAACTCAGAAAATTGATTTTCCGTAGTTGATCATGGAGGGAACCAAGGATGTAATGCAAGGAAAGTTATTTCGGAAGTGTACACATCTTTTGTACTGCAGTGTACTGTCTCTGGGCGCTAATGTAAACACAAGACGGATGTCGAAGCCTGACATGGGATCCATCTTTCACATAAAAAATCAATGAAATATTCTGGTCATAAGAAACTATTACGTGAATTATCAAAATTATCAAAATTTAATGCTTTTAACCTCCTCTGATACTAAACGAACACTGATGCATCTATTTTTGTTTACAAATTCTGCCGAGAGAGAACTGGTTTCAATATGTACGCAGAGTATACACAACCGCAATTAACTTTCCTTGCATTACAACCTTGGAGGGAACAGTCTTAACAGTACACATTTGAAATAAATTTTCCATTTTTTGGTAGATAACACATTAAAAAAAGTTGAACAGAGAGGTTTCAAGCGAAGGTCGTGAATGTGATTTATTTTTTCATAAATTATAATTTTAAGGTTTTTATATGTCTAGGATAAACGAGATAGGCTAGAGACCAAAAATATATATAGACGTGAAAGGACTTATATGAAATTGAATAAAAAAATCCGATCAATTTTAAAAGTCTCAAATACCAGACCCCCCTTCCCCTCTAAACATCAAGGCACGCGCTAAAGTTTTGAACTTTTAATTAATTTCAAATTCAAGTATAATAAATATCTCTGTTTCAGTTATGTCCGCCCCCTGCCTCACATCCTACTAAAATACCCAATTCCTATTTCCTAATCCCTATACTCGCTCCTTTTTAATCCACCCCCCCCCTTCCTGACACCTTTCTACGCCCCATAAGATTGTTATTGTTCCGTGTACAGCGTACATAAATACTCAGTGTTGATTGATCCTTGTACCGAACTTAATAATGAGCTCCAACCTAATTCCCAAACTATCCTTCTGCAAGTTCAAGTGTGAAGATTCAGATTATGCTTCTCTTCACAAGAGACTTTCTCCTTTTCAAATCAAGAAGTTTACTTTCTTCTTCAAGAAGTTCTTCGACGTGAACAACGACGGTATCGTGGACGCCCAGGACTTCAACAAGCTGAACGAGAGGTTGAGGATTATGGCGGGCTGGGAGAAGAACTCTGAGGAGTACATGACCTTGGCGGACACCAACAGCGTCTTCTTGGAGTGCCTGCTGGACCAGGTGAAGAAAGAGGGAAAGAACCAGGAGGGTCTGGAGTACAGGACCTGGGAGGAGGCATTGAAGCCTAGGAAGCTGGAGGTGACCAGCATCACCTTGAACCAATGGTTGAATATGTGGGCTCGACTTTGTGAAGGTTCTGGAGGAATGCAAGATTTTCCAATCTGGGTTAAACTCCTCCCCCAGCTCATGTTCGCTGTCCAGGTTGGAAAGAACAAGGAGAAACAGATTACGAAGGCGTGTTTGAAGAACTTCTACGCCTGCTTTGCGGAAGAGATGGAGGAGAAGGAGCTGGAAGAGTTGACCGAGGTCGGATACGCAAGCATGACGGCTCACGGAGATTACGAGTTGGACGAGGATAACTATGTCCTTCTCTTCTCCAGCTTCCTGCTGGGTAGAACCATATATGGACCGGGAAAATATATATTCGGCTGTTTGGATAATAGCGATCTACATACCAAGTATCCTATTATCCCTTTAGTTGCGTAACCAGATAATTAGTAGCGTAATTAGATAGTTAGCAGAGTAATCAGATAATTATGACGATTCTATTTGATCTCTGATTCATATTCTCTTTTATATAATTGAACTTAATGATTTAATAAAGATACAAATATATATTTTTAAATTTCAATTGTTTCATATGAGTGTCATGCTTCGTTAGTTTGGTAACTGTGCTCTTGGTATTCTTGCTGAGCCATACCAGTTCAAATAGTTACTAATTACAAAATCCTTAGAGCGAAATTTAGAATAAAGAGTGAAAAAAATTCTTGTTTTCTTGTTTTCTTGTTTTCTTTTAAAAGAAGATATGTATGTGGCGCCCTCAATGAACAAATCTTTAAAAATTACGTCAATAAGACTTTTTCAGGCAGACAGGCTTTGATTTTATGGTACTTCATGTCTTTTGACTGGGGAAAGTCATGAACAAAGTGTTAATTTATGTTTTGTGCGACTTTAAGCCTGAAAATGCACTGATTTTTACGATTTTTAAAACATTTTTTTTTCATAAAGGGCTCCACAGAGATATATTATTTTTGGTGTCTTGAATTCTATTGCCCTACTCTGAATTGACGAAACTAAAATGCAAAGCCATAAAATCTGAACTTGTGAATCATTTTCCGTAATCTGTAATCTCTAATAAAAGTTTTCAGAAAGTTGGAAAGATGTCAGATTGGATTTAAATCTAATTTATTTAATTCTCTTCCAAAAAATTTAAAGCTTGGTGGGCATATTTATCAAATATGTAAAAAAAGATGTAAAAAGGTTGTAATAATATATTTTTTCGATCAATATCAATTTGGTTCTAATCACACGAATTTAAATAACATTACTCCCAAAATTGCAAAAGAACAGATTCTTCCATTGCTTCCAGATGTTTCTAAAATAAATACAGGGTGTCCAAATAGACATAGTAATTGAGAAACTACTTGAATATCTTCTTTGATTTCTGATAATTGATAAATGACATACAATTATAGAATATTGAAAGAGTTAAGTTGATTTTTAATTAGATGGAATCTGGAAAAATTTCCTAATATCTCCGTCAATTTTGAAGGTAAAAAATGGTAGACCACATTTTTGAAATCCCGAAACCACTAGATTTCGATGTTAAATGTTTTAACTTTGCTACTGCAAAATTATATTTACGAAATAATCCCGTTAGGATCAAAGACAATTTAGAAGTCGTCATTTAATTCCCATGTTTATTGGGACACTCTGTAAATGGGTGAAATTGTCCGCCTTATTATCCAGTTTTAGATTTATCTTATTAAGGTTCCCATATCAAATTAGATCATCTCCAAACTGACCGTATCAGCAAACTACAGTAGTCGGCGATTCTATCAATACAATGAAAACAAATTTATCGATATTGTTTTGATCCCTATAACAAGCCTTTTTCAAATTACAAGTTTACAAGTAAACAAAGAGAGGCCGCTTATTGATACTTTTCTTGGTAGAAATAGAAAAATAAAATAGAAAGTCGTCTTCAATGTATTTATATATACGACGACGATTGTACTCTAAAGAACACGAGGTGAATTTTCTGTTGTGACCCAAAAAACTTAATTCAGAGCTATATTACTATTCAATATTAGGTGCAGGATACTCTGTATTTTGAATTTCAACAGAAAACGCAGATTTTTTACCCGTTGATTGAATAAAGTTTTATTTTATTTTTAAGAGTTAGTTGTATGTTTTCGTAACATGAGACAAAAACTAATTAGGAATAATAAAAAATAATCCATTTCATCTTTATATATAAAGTAATAATCTCTGTTTTTTGTTTGTTTGGTCGTCCAATCATAACTCAAAAACCCCTAGACCGATTTGCCGCAATTTTGATTGGGAAACTCGGGAGAAATGCGGGAATGTTCTTAGCATGGTTTTCAGATTCTCAGTTGTGTGGGTCGACTTTTATAAGGAAAAACAGCTAAAACCATAATTAATGACCAAGCGCGGGTAAACGGCGGAAGTAACTATGATTAACTTGGGCAACACTGGGTTCCCAAGCCACATAGTTTAGAATAAGATAAAGACCTTAGATAAAAAAGAAACAAAACAAGGTTAAATATAATAAAATCATCTATACCTGGTTCAAGGATAGCTAGAGCTCTGGTTGGTCCTCCTGATCCCCCGGATAGCTTGAGAACAAAGTTGTAAACTTGGAACCCAGTCTCCGGGAGCTCATCCGTCCTATTTAGAATATTATATTTACATGTATACAACTTGAGAACAAAGTTGTAAAACTGGAACTTGATCTCCGGTAGCTCATCCTTCCTATTCATGATTGTCATGATACTATGTAAGTATAGCGTGAGAACAAAGTTATAAACCTGGAACCCAGTCTCCGGTAGCTCATCCTTCCTATTCATGATACTATATAAGTATGTAGCTTGAGAACAAAGTTTTAAAACTGGAACCTAATCACCGGTAGCTCAACCGTCCTATTCATGATTGTCATGATACTATGTAAGTAAAGCGTGAGAACAAAGTTATAAACCTGGAACCCAGTCTCCGGTAGCTCATCCATCCTATTCATGATACTATATAAGTATGTAGGTTGAGAACAAAGTTGTAAAACTGGAACCTAATCACCGGTAGCTCAACCGTCCTATTCATGATTGTCATGATACTATGTAAGTATAGCGTGAGAACAAAGTTATAAACCTGGAACCCAGTCTCCGGTAGCTCATCCATCCTATTCATGATACTATATAAGTATGTAGGTTGAGAACAAAGTTGTAAAACTGGAACCTAATCACCGGTAGCTCAACCGTCCTATTCATGATTGTCATGATACTATGCAGTAAGTATAGCGTGAGAACAAAGTTATAAACCTGGAACCCAGTCTCCGGTAGCTCATCCGTCCTTTTCATGATACTATATAAGTATATAGCTTGAGAACAAAGTTGTAAAATTGGAACCAAATCACCGGTAGCTCATCCGTCCTATTCATGGATTGCCATGATACTATGTAAGTATAGCTTGAGAACAAAGTTGTAAAGCTGGAACCCAGGAGTTTATCCGTCCTACTCATATTACTATTTTAGTATGTGGCTTGAGAACAATTAGTCTAAACTATATTGTAAGGTTTTACTTAAAATATTATTTAGAATGTGCAATGCTACAGCTATAAATAAAGTACAAAGCTGTATGAATTAAAAGACGACATTTCAAATGATCTTTACGCAGATAGATATTTACCTTGCAGCATTCTCTAGTCCCCATATGTTTGCCCCTAGCAGTATTCTAAATTATCGAAGAAATTCAATAAAAAATCAGGATGAATAAAATTAAACGGTTTATATTTAATCAAAATACATGAAATTTGAAGAATCTTAATTGTTGGAATAGGAAGACGACATTAAGAAATTTTATGTGTATTTGAGGTTGTTAAGCAAATATTTTTCTACACACAAATCAACTAAATAAGTGAAATGGGTCTGTGTTCACTGTACAATTGCTATGCGTTCATCGAACTATTTAAATTCCCAATGGAGTGTGTTGTCTTTCTATTCCACAGTTTTATGGGTACCACTGTACCTGTGTGCTATATAGTCCTTGCTTTGTCCATAATCAAGACTCGGTGTATCTATTCCAACTCCTTTAACCTATAACAAACTACAGCAGTTTAACTTCGAACTTCATAACTTAAGTCTTAAAGTCGTCTTCTGTTCTTTAATTTTAAGGTCTCGCAATAGTTTTTCATGGTTTGACAACAATTGAAAAATAAAAAAATTAAATGCTGAATTCGAATGGTTTACTTCTTAAAGTTGAAGGGAAATAAGTCACAAAGTCCATTGCTTAATTAAGCTCTTGAAAAATGCCGCGTCGATTGAAGACGAGTGATAAGTCACTAGTTAATTCCACGAATATCAGGACTCTGTATGGGGTACCTGTCTTGAAACCAGGAGTCTGTATCGGGTACCTGTCTTGAAACCAGGAGTCTGTATGGGGTACCTGTCTTGAGACCAGGACTCTGTATCGGGTACCTGTCTTGAAACCAGGACTCTGTATCGGGTACCTGTCTTGAAACCAGGAGTCTGTATCGGGTACCTGTCTTGAAACCAGGACTCTGTATCGGGTACCTATCTTGAAACCAGGAGTCTGTATCGGGTACCTGTCATGAAACCAGAACTCTGTATCGGGTACCTGTCTTGAAACCAGGAGTCTGTATCGGGTACCTGTCTTGAAACCAGGAGTCTGTATCGGGTACCTGTCTTGAAACCAGGACTCTGTATCGGGTACCTGTCTTGAAACCAGGACTCTGTATGGGGTACCTGTCTTGAAACCAGGAGTCTGGCTGCCTGTTCTCCTATTCCAGGGAAATGAAGGTGCTCCGTGTCATTCTCAGGTAGATTTAATCCAGCAGGATATCCCAAATATTTTACCCTACAATATGTACAGTGAGAACAAGAAAACACTGGAATTCTAGGCTTTTGTATACATTACAAATACAAAATGTTACTAAGAATTTTGTACTTTTCAACGAAACTATTTCTAAAAAAGTAACCTGATGACTATTAGAGAATACAGCCGGTTACCCACAAAAGATGGGATTTCCGAGACAACTGTATCGAATTTTGTCAGTCTCATTTTTTACTTTCAACTAATCAAGGTTCCCGCAGCTTTCCATGTTTATTTGGATTCCAACACATTTGAAAGGCATGCTAAAGACTTTTTTTAAGAAAGTGGACCAAATTAAACCTTCGAAATATATAAAATGAGTTTTGGGTCGTAATGAAACTCTCATCCTTTGTGGATATCCCTGTATATCAGTTACAACAATCAAATTCGTTCCATAGTAGTGTGTTTTCTGCCTTTGCGTGGAACCTGTAGCAAATTCAAAGTTCGTTTTAAAAAAAGATCATTTTCAATTCTATAAATGGAAGATCACATGAAATTCCGTTTATAGTTTCTTTAATCAATTTTGAGCTTGTTATCACATAAATAACCAAAACTAAACTAAAGAAGAAGAACTTAGATTCACTAATTAAAAATAATCAGTTTTTGTGGTAACAACAAAATTGAATTTCTTGAAACGATAACAAAAATACGGGTGAACCCTAAATGAGCAATACATCGAAAGTATTTCTGAAATGTCGTCTTAACAATTTTTCAGAGGGTTTTATACTATTTTACGTAAATCTCAGTATTTGTGAAAATAAATAAATACCCATGAATATGCGAGAACAGTTTTAAATAATCATTTAATTAAAAAACTAAATATTTGCAACATTCCATTGTCAGAAAGTGAAGAAAACGACATTTGATGAATTATTTCGAAGTATGGCTTATTCAGGGTTTAACTGTTTAATTTTAGATAAATGATTTATTCCCTATTAATTTATAAAACCTGTTTGTGTATAGGTTCCCCCTGCCTGTGTGAACTATAAGGATTGAGTTCTCAGGAATAGTTCCATGTTCCTTCTCCCAGTTCAATATATCCTCTACACTCATCCTGTAGTCTATATCTTCCCTACTCTTAATAAATAGTTGTAACGATTGAAAGCTGATTTATATATTCTATATTTTTTACTTGTCCGTATGGGTGTATGTTTGTTTGTCTGTTTGTTTATATCCAATAAACGTCAAAACCGCTGAACCGTTGAACCGATCAGGCCCAGGTTTATGGACCGTCAAAATTTAACAATTGTGACCGGAAAAAATGTCAAAAATTATCATTTTTTAAAATTCGCCAATTGAAAAAGAAAATTTTTGATAATTTTGATAAAAAATGCCAATTTTGAGCAACAGTCCAAAGCTAAAATAGTTAATAGGAAAACGGGACGCGAAGCTCTCTAAAAACCTAATAAAACATAAATATCTACACAGTATGTCACCTGATTTGATATATCAATCTTAACTGCAGTCCCAAATAATCTGTCCAAGGGAATATCACCAGTACTCCAGCCACCCTGGAGTAGTTAAATATAAGAAACCTTTTCATTCTCGTCAATTGCGAACTGTAAAAATTAGTACAGGGTTTAAAAAATGAAACCTTAATGACGAGCTGAAAATAGAATTTTTACTCTTTCTCAGAAAATAGTCTTCTCTGGTTCTTTTAAATAATAGTATGAGAAAGAGTAAAGATTCGGGGGACCATGGGAAAAAGAAATAAGAAATAAAATCCTTCGTACAGTCGTCTCCGAAGTCTCATCCTTTATGGATAACTTTAAACCCAGAATCAGCTTAGTATTCTTAGGATCCCCATAACCCAGTAATAGGATACCCTACATGCCATGAACAACCCTGGATAGGATACCTAACTATCCTTTGAACCTAGGATACCTTAGGATCCCCATAACCCCGGAATAGAATACCTTACATCCCATAGAAACCCTGGATAGGATACCTAACTATCCTTTGAACCTTGGATACCTTAGGATTCCCATAACCCAGGAATAGGATACCCTACATCCCATGAACAACCCTGGATAGGATACCTAACTATCCTTTGAACCTAGGATACCTTAGGATCCCCGTAACCCCGGAATAGAATACCTTACATCCCATAGAAACCCTGGATAGGATACCTAACTATCCTTTGAACCTAGGATACCTTAGGATCCCCATAACCCAGGAATAGGATATCTTACAACCCATGAACAACCCAGGATAGGATACCTAACTATCCTTTGAACCTAGGATACCTTAGGATCCCCATAACCCAGGAATAGGATACCTTACATCCCATTAACAACTCAGGATAGGATACCTAAGTATCCTTTGAACCTAGGATACCTTAGGATCCCCTGAACCCAGGAATAGGATACCTGACATGCCATGAACAACCCAGGATAGGATACCTAAGTATCCCTTGAACCTAGGATACCTTAGGATCCCCATAACCCAGGAATAGGATACCTGACATCCCATGAACAACCCTGGATAGGATACCTAACTATCCTTTGAACCGAGGATACCTTAGGATCCCCATAACCCAGGAATAGGATACCTGACATCCCATGAACAACCCTTGATAGGATACCTAAGTATCCTTTGAACCAAGGATACCTTAGGATCCCCATAACCCAGGAACCCAGGAATAGGATACCTGACATCCCATGAACAACCCTGGATAGGATACCTAAGTATCCTTTGAACCTAGGATACCTTAGGATCCCCATAACCCAGGAATAGGATACCCGACATCCCATGAACAACCCTGGATAGGATACCTAACTATCCTTTGAACCTAGGATACCTTAGGATCCCCATAACCCAGGAATAGGATACCTGACATCCCATACAACCCTTGATAGGATACCTAAGTATCCTTTGAACCTAGGATACCTTAGGATCCCCATAACCCAGGAACCCAGGAATAGGATACCTGACATCCCATGAACAACCCTGGATAGGATACCTTAGGATCCCCATAACCCAGGAATAGGATACCTGACATCCCATGAACAACCCAGGATAGGATACCTAACTATCCTTTGAACCTATATGATATCTTACAACCCATGAACAACCCAGGATTAGAATAACTGAGCATCCCTTGAACTCAGGATACCTTAGTATACCCTGAGCTCAGGATACTTTAGTATCCCCTGAACCCAGGAATAGGATACCTGAGTATCCCCTGAACCAGGGATACCTTAATATCCCCTGAACTCAGGATACCTGAGTATCCTTTGAACCCAGGAATAGGATACCTGAGTATCTCTAAGATGGGTTGGAGCGTCAAGATGAGTTCCCGAGTGCTCTGATGAACTAGAAAAACAAGTATTTAAAACTAGAATTCTTTTAAGATCCTTGATGTTTTCATGGAGGTTATTTTGATCAGAAGAGCCGATTATTTTGTTCTGATAAAAGCTCTGATAATTTTTTTAAACTTTTTTATCTTGTTATTCCTGATGTCTCTGTTTTCGTACCAGTATCCTCCATCTGTTATATTTTTATAGACCTAGAGGTAGATTATTTAATTTTATTTTTTATTTTATTATACAAAAAGGCAAGACATACAATCTTACTCAGTTTAAAGCAGATAAAAATCGTCTTTGATTGATTAAACTAGAAATGCATTTGAGGGTTTTTTTAAATTTGAACCGCGGTTAGGAAAGATCCATCCTTTAAAATGTTAATTTCACATTCTTGAGTTTTCTTGACTGAATAAAGACGACTTTTATTCCACTTTTTACTGGACATTACTGTATTTTGGATAATTTGAGAAACTTTACTAAACTTTAAAGTTAAAAATTTTGGATAATCGTAGATCAAAACCAATGATTTAAAAAAATTACAACGTTCAATTAGAATCACAACTTCGTCATAAAATAAGTTTAAATATCTATCTAATAAGCTGACCTGCTTGGCTGTAAATTTAGTTGCAACTGGCCAAGATATTGTATTTTCATCTACAGGGTGGGTCAGATCTATCATACTATTTATCTAGAATATACAAAGTGGGTCAGATCTATCATACAAGAGGGTGAGTCAGATCTATCATACAATTCATCTAGAATATACAGGGTGGGTCAGATCTATCATACTATTGATCTAGAATATACAGGGTGAGTCAGATCTATCATACAATTCATCTAGAATATACAGGGTGAGTCAGATCTATCATACTATTGATCTAGAATATACAGGGCGGGTCAGATCTATCATACTATTCATCTAGAATATACAGGGTGGATCAGATCTATCATACTATTCATCTAGAATATACAGGGTGAGTCAGATCTATCATACTATTCATCAAGAATATACAGGGTGGGTCAGATCTGTCATACTATTGATCTAGAATATACAGGGTGAGTCAGATCTATCATTCTATTCATCTAAAATATACAGTGTGAGTCAGATCTATCATACTATTTATCTAAAATATATACATACATATCATACTATTCATCTAATAAATACATATATATACAGAGTGGGTTAGATAAATCATACTTTTTTTTAACAGGTTGGGTTCTGACAATTTCTTTCTTTTACTCTGTAGCTTAAATTAACAAGTCACTTTTAATGAGAAACCACAATTGAAAATAATACATTTTCCGGCAGAAAAAAAGGAATATTTTAGGCATTTTTAATTATATTATGGTTTAAAGAGTACCATAGTTAATCGGGATTGAAACTGTTTAAAAAGAGGATCACACTTGAGATTGGGTTAACAGCCCCTTTAAAGTCTCATTTTGTGCGGACAACCCTGTATATTACCTTGAACCCGCTCACAGCACTGATAAACAAAATCAGAAACATTTTTTCTAAAAAATAAAAACTATTTTATTGCAATATTTATATGGTCTTTTTAAAATAAATTGTTTGACAAAAATACGCAAAATTGTGCAAAAATAGGCCGGAGACATTCATACCTATCCTTTCAGTAATTTCGTCGCTACACAAATTTTCATCTTGTATTTAACAATTCTTTTTTAACAGATCAGATCAGATCAGATCAGAACAGATCAGATCAGATCAGATCAGATCAGATCAGATAGATTTACAAAACAATTTTTAGTTGGATTAGAAAATAAAAGTTTATTGCAGAACTATAAGAACTTGCTTTAATTCCTTTAAAGGGACTGTAAGCGTAATTTCAAGTGACTCCGTGCAAAGAGGGCAATGCCCGATTTACAAAGGTACCCTTAAAAGCTTTGTCTGAAAGTATGAATTTGATATCAATGTTTTTTGGTTCTTTAAACTGTTTATTTTCATTTGCGGTTTAAAGTGACTTGCGCATTTCTTGTTTATCAACATACATTGGAGAAACTCACAGAAATAAATACTTTTTGAGTCAGGAAAACGACGGTATCTTCCAAAGTTTTGATCAGATTAAGATTTCAAGGGTATCGTTTACCTGAAGGGTCACTTGAAAGTACGCTTAAAGTCTCTGCTATAGTCTTTAAGAAAGAAACACATGACTTTACTAACATAAAGTTTTTACATGTGAACCTGATGAAATACTTTTAATTAGTTGTATACAGTCCTATTAGTGTTTTCATTCTGTATAATAAACAACTTCAATAAAGGAAATATATTTTGATGTTTGTTTACATTATACACCAGTCCTATAAACAGATTGTTTACATTATACACCAGTCCTATAAACAGATTTCGCCAAAATTGAATAAACAACTATCTATACAACTTACAAGATCAGTTTTAGCATAAAAAATATTCTGGAGAAAAGAAATATAATAATTAAAAAAAAAAGATTGGGAAGCTAGCTTGTCAAATAAACTAAATTTTAACCCAGAACTTCGGAGTCATCGAAGGAACTTATCAAATGTCGTCTTGACAATTTTTCAATGGGGTTTTTACTATTATCTAAATCTTATTTATTTTAAAAATAAATATATAGCAAGAAAATACGCGGAAATTTATTAAAAAATTATTCTTGAAAAGCAAGATTAAAGCGCTTAATACATATATAATATTTAGACATTTTAAAAGTTTAAAAATTCTCTCTTTCCAAGTTTTGTATCTCCTGGAAGCCTGGAAAACAAGTTACAGCAAACTTTTAGGAATCTCCAGAAAAAGGCGGAGGGGGGGGGCAAAAGATACTCTTGACCCCCCCCCTGGATCCGCGCCTAAGACACCTTGTAGTATAGCTGCAGGTATAGATATAGGGACCTCACCTCCTCAACTGCAATATTCTGTAGATTTTAATCAAGCTTTCTCAAACAGAAATCTTCTAAATATCAATGTATGTAAGACGACTTTCAAACTCATATTGTAACTGAACAATTTTGTTTGACTACACATTGGATTAGATTTGGAAAAAATTAGATTTGGGGACCACAGGGTTGGATAAAAATGTAGGCAAACCAAGAAAGTTTTGTGATTTGTTAAAAAAATCTTTATAAAAAGATTAGGGAACTACAGGGTGTCCCAAAAACATGGGAATTCAGTGACGAATTCGATATCGTCTTTGTTATGAATTAGCATTATAGTACCTAATTTCAAAGGCCGTAATATTATTATGTCTGCTAGAGTTTCTTTTATGAAAAGGGTAAAATACTGCAAAGTATAATGTCTTCGCAAGATAAACAGTGAAGACGGACAAGTTTACTCTGTTTGTATACTGCAATTTTCTTGTTTTACTAAGTACAACCGAATTCAATCAAAACATAAACAAACAAAATGTGAACATAGGAGACGAAACTCACAGATTACAGCTTTCTCAGTATGTATAAACTATACTAAATCAAAGAATTATTTACAAAGACGAGATTGAATTCGTCACTGAATTCCCATGTTTATTGGGACACCCTGTATAAAGCATTAACCAGATCACTTTAAAAATGGGAACAGAAAATATAAAATATTATATGGAGTGGATTTCAAGAACCTTCCATTTAATTATAAACCCTTGGATTCATAAATTGCCCCGACCCAAAGCTTGAGTTCTCCCGGGACGAAGGAAGTCCATGGAAACAGTTTGAAAATAAATAGAATTTAGACTAAATATAACCCCTGGGGTCGGACAATGTGCAAATATACAAGAAACAATTAGGTAAATTTTAAATTCCAGTGAAATTGCTCATGATTTTAGCGGTGGAGAGGTAATTGGGGTGCCAGTATTAATGTGAGGGTTGAGAAGATGTTAGAAATGTCTANCCATAACATGAACCCTATTCATATCTAACCTGAACCCTATTCATCCCATAAACTGAACCCTGCCCATATCTAACGTGAACCCTATTCATCCCATAATCTGAACCCTTCTCATATCTAACGTGAACCCTATTCATCCCGTAACCTGAACCCTCATCATATCTAACCAGAACCCTATTCATCCCATAACCTGAACCCTGCCCATATCTAACGTGAACCCTGTTCATCCCATAATCTGAACCCTTCTCATATCTAACCTGAACCCATTCATTCCATATCCTGAACCCTATTCATATCTAACCTGAACCCTATTCATCCCATGACCTGAACCCTATTCATATCTAACCTGAACCCTATTCAACCCATAACATGAACCCTATTCATATCTAACCTGAACCCTATTCATCCCATAACCTGAACCCTACTCATATCTAATGTGAACCCTATTCATCCCATAACCTGAACCCTTCTCATATTTAACGTGAACCCTTTTCATCCCATAACCTGAACCCTAGTCATATCTCACCTGAACCCTACTTTTTTTTTTAATTACTTACATGTCAAAAATCTATCTAATTTAAAAAGTTAATTTGTATTTAAAAAAATTAATTTTAAAAATATATATTTATATATTAAATCAATTTTACGGATTTTAGATAAAATTCCAATTTTTTAATAAATTAATGTAAATCACTTTTTGCACCAATTATATAAAGATTAGAATACGTTTAGGTCTAATTACCTTCGGATCAAAAGGTTCACAGATCAGATTCCGAAATTTAGCTTCTTACAGTTTTTAAGAAGAAAGGAAATGTACTTAAGTTAATTATGTTGTCACTAGCTATTTATAATCTCTAATATGTTTATATATTACTTGGTTTGGTTTGGTGACCAACTCAGCGGTCAAACTATGTTTCCTACGTAATACATGAATAAGGTTTATACATGTAGTCAATTTATGCTTCCGACGTATTACAGTACAGTTTATATATTATTAATAATTTTGAAGCAATCATACTAAAGAATGTAAATAGAAAAATTATTTATTTCATCCATACTTATTTTAATGAAAGAGTATGAAAAAAGTTTGCATACATCCTAATAAGTTTAAAATGTGAAATTTGGACGCTGTTGTTTTTCCCTGAATCTGGTCTTGGTTCTTATATATCCTATTAACTCGTATACCCCGGGGTGCGGGGTCTATCTGGGTGAAATATAAAGACCGACTCCCCAACCCAGATCAAGAGATAAACTAAACCAACTTCAAAGAGATGTTGGAAAGAAATGACCCGGATCACTTCATACACAAATCATAAAAATTATACCCCGGCTACGGGGAAATCTATACATTATATCCCGGCACCTGGGAAACTCAAATTCTATACATTATATCCCGGCATCGGGGAATTAAAATTTAATCCTAACCATTATATCCCGGCCTTTGATTCCTAAACTTTTATCCCATCCAGGGAGAAACTTAAATCCTAAATATTATACCCTGACCACGCGGAAACTTAAATCCTAAATATTATACCCTGACCACGGGGAAACTTAAATCCTAAATATTATACCCTGACCACGGTGAAACTTAAATCCTAAATATTATACCCTGACCACGCGGAAACTTAAATCCTAAATATTATACCCTGACCACGGGGAAACTTAAATCCTACCCTGACCACGGTGAAACTTAAATCCTAAATATTATACCCTGACCACGCGGAAACTTAAATCCTAAATATTATACCCTGACCACGGGGAAACTTAAATCCTAAATATTATACCCTGACCACGGGGAAACTTAAATCCTAAACTTCCTTATACTTCTTTATAAACTCCTCTATATCTAAAGTTTGTTCTCTATATCTAAACCATAAACTTCTCTATATCTAAACCATAAACTTCTCTATATCTAAACCATAAACTTCTCTATATCTAAACCATAAACTTCTCTATATCTAAACCCTAAACTCCTCTATATCTAAACCCTAAACTCCTCTATATCTAAACCCTAAACTCCTCTATATCTAAACCATAAACTTCTCTATATCTAAACCCTAATTCTCTATATCTAAACTCTAAACTCCTCTATATCTAAACCCTAAAATCCTCTATATCTAAACCCTAAACTCCTATATATTTAAACCCTAAACTCCTCTATATCTAAATCCTAAACTCCTTTATATCTAAACCCTAAACTCTCAATATCTAAACCCTAAACTCCTCTATATCTAAACCCTAAACTCCTCTATATCTAAACCCTAAACTACTCTATATCTAAACCCTAAACTCCTCTATATCTGAACCCTAAACTCCTCTTTATCTAAACTCTACACTCCTCTATATCTAAACTCTAAACTCCTCTATATCTAAATCCTAAACTCCTCTATATCTAAACCCTAAACTCTCAATATCTAAACCCTAAACACCTCTATATCTAAACCCTAAACTCTCAATATCTAAACCCTAAACTCCTCTATATCTAAACCCTAAACTCCTTTATATCTAAACCCTAAACTCCTCTATATCTGAACCCTAAACTCCTCTTAATTTAAACTCTACACTCCTCTATATCTAAACTCTAAACTCCTCTATATCTAACCCCTAAACTTCTCTACATCAAATCCCTAAACTCCTCTGAATCTAAACTCTAAACTCCTCTATA